TCAATATGAAGATGTACAAGGAAAGAAAACTTCTATATGATGAATGAATAAATCAAACCTTCCGTTTTCATGAAGGATCTCGAATTCGTTAGCCAATATTTCATCCGAAAAATATTTTCTTTTTAAAATCTCGGATACGTATATATATATATATATATATATTTTTTTTTTTTCATTTTCGAACACTCTCTATAAATTTGAACGATGGTGGTAGATTTCCTAGGAGATACTGGGTTGATAAATATCGGATACTATATTTGTAGACTACATGGCAAAGAAGCCTGTACTGAAGAACATAAAGACCCAATAGACAAATCCTCTCTCGTTCTCTGTTCAGACAAAGGAAATATTTCCATCAAAACGAGGACAATGAACAGCTCCGTACACACTAGGCTACACATACATGCTCTTCTAAATGCAGAATCGATTATTCGACAATTCTCAAGAGGTCTTTGGCGAGGGTAGTGTGAGGATATCAAACAACAGAGTTTTGGCGAAAGAAAACCGACGACCTCTGAGATCGAGTACGTGACACTTTTTATTCGGCTAGAATTCAATATACCTAAAAACCGTGTGTATGTAACAGTGGCTCTGCCAAGACTGTTCAAATTTAATCAACAGTTAAAAAAAAATCTACTATTTCTAGTAACTTTTGAAAACCTCTTTGTTACAGGTCTGCTCTTTGATTTTTTAAACTTATGATTTCCCTGTACTCTCTGGGTATTCAAATATTGAATATTTGAATAATAAATAATATGATTAGCCGAAGATGAAGGAAAGAGTATGGGTTCTAAACTTTTTCAACTAATTTAATTCTTTTCCATCCTGAAGTAACTGATGTGTTAGAGTCTTTTCAACAAGTTCTTCGACTCGTTTCATAAAGCAGTGATATACTTTTGCAGGAGAAGCAACACAAGTGTTTTTATACATTTCTAGTGAGAAAACAGATATATGTAGAAAGAGCTTTTACTTTCAGTGTAATGTAAGGTCTCTCACTTAAATAAGACTTTGTAACTATAACCAATCTTCGAAATGCAAAAATCAAAATAAACTTAATTGTAGAAATTTGTATCACAGTGTATAGCTGTAAGTTTACTGAACAATGTTGGACATTAAACTAGATTGGTTTAAAGACGTTATACAGTTTTAGCAGTAGCAAACATGAAGAGTTCTTACAAACGTTCATAATCTAAATAAATAGTCTTATCGCGTGTGTGTTTCTAAAAAGATTCAAAGAACGTTTTATTTTGTGTTATAGGAATGGACTTTAATCGGCATAGCAGTTCACAGTGCTAAAAGGGAAGTAAAGGAAATGTATATTAATCCAACACGTTTTAGTTACGCCATAATATGACAGTATAAAATTCGGGGTTTGAAATATGACTCATGTTTGCATGTTACTTGAAAAATTTTAACTACAACCTTTTATATTAACATTAGTTTCTTGATAAAACCGGTTAAAATATTACTTGTTCTAATTACTTGTTACGCTGTTCTAAGATAGAACATTTTTTGTTAGTTTAGGCAAAACACTAAACAAGACGAATGAGCAAAATATACATCACATTTTCTTCAAAACGTATCTTCAGATATAAAAAAAACAACTAAGAAAATGACAGTTTTGATTATTATAGACAACACACGTCCTGAGGGAAGGGGGGGAAAAGAAAGAGTACTTTTCTTAATTTTATTGTAATACCGCTGTAGTGAAGAATCACACTACTGTAGTTTATGTGGTTTTAAATCGTTACTGTTTATCCATTTAAAACTTCCCCAAAAGAAAAAATGTGCACAATTTTTGTTATTTTCTTCAGAATATGGATTGTTAATGCAATATTGATTTATTAAAACACTGAACTGGGTTTTAGCGGATATGTTGATATATTAGTATACCTATCTATGTATGTGTGTGTGCGTGTGTAAAAGGTTGTAACCAATATCTAGTGATTCCCAGCATACCAGAGAAGCAGCTGTCACTAGAGACGTATAGCCCGCTCTATATTTTACCAAAAACAGAGCGAAAACCAGCCGCACCCATGAATATTTGAAACTGAACCTGTCGATCGCCGGCCTTTCTGAAGTACACTATCAAGAACATCTGATGTCCAGACCCCCAGTATCATTTCTTCATCTTCCCAGCCTTTAGTAATACAGCACCCCATGTCAGCAACTCGCCGATAGAAGCCACACAGATGGTTTAACTCCCAAGTATCTGGAGAAACACGAGTCCCTGGGATCTGCAGGCTATCAATAATGAAAAGCTATTGCAAGGCATAGGAAGTCTTTTTTTTTTGTAAATAATCAACGAAAGTACAGTTCATATGAAAATTGTATGTGGTGTTTTTTTTGTTGTTATTAATATAGTTCTTGAGTATTAATAAGTGGGTGTATCGCCGATGTTTTTATGAGTAAGAAGATTTGTAACAACCTAAATAATAACATGAGAATCTTAATGTGCACATTGAAGAGCGTTGTGAAAGAAACATGTGAAAAAAACAACCATCGAGTAGTATTTCGCTTATTGTTAAAAAACTATGTCTTGTACAGGTTTCATTAAATTGTAATTGCCAACAATTGATATACTAGCTGGAGTACCCGTCCCCTGGACGGAAGTTATGTAAATTCATGATTAAAGAAAGGTCATTTTAGGACATGAAAGTTGCTTCCCTTATATGTAATTGTAAAAAAAAGCGCCCATAAAAACCGCAAACCACAAAATGCAAAACTGAAAATTTTTATATATCTCCCCACGGACCTAATGAACCTCCATAGCAACTTTGGTGAAGATTCATCCACACCCTGCGTACAACATGAACGTACAACAGACAGTACTATTATATTTATATATATATATATCCTACCCGAGTATTATCATCCTTGATTGCCAATTGTCAACAAATGATATACATATATATTATCCTGAGTATTATCACCATAAGCTTTATTCTTAGCCTCATATTTCTGTATACTTTACTCAGTCAAGCCATTTGCAAGATATATGAATGTTGTTCTCAACAGAATAAAAATTACTCTACATATCGCGTGACTTTAAATTATCATAAATATTTACTTATGTGAAAGCTTTGTGGTCTAAGGTCGTATTATAGAGCATTGAGGTTTACAGAATAGAATGGTTTTAACAAAGTCTTATATATTACATGATCAAGAAAATGTCACAAAAAAGAGTTTGGTTGTAAAAAAGCTCACATATTTTGTTCTATTTTTCGACTTGTCACAAGCTAAAATATAGAATAAAAATAACTAAATATATTCTTGTCATAAACAGTTATATACATATAACATACTGCGCCTTCATACCTCCATAAAATGATTATCTATACATTTCTACAAATACACTGAAATAAACAGGGAAAAAACATTTACATTTCATTATAAGTAACTATTCTTTTAGTGTTTCTCGACTAGAACAATCAACACGCTACAATATTTCGTCCAAAGTTTTTCAATAATACAAGTTCCACATTTTTCAATGCCAGTTCACAATTTTACCATGATTCTTTACTCTATATGAATCATTGATCAAAGTCTACCCTCACCTTCCGAAGCGATTACATAATGAAAAAAAATGAAGAGCAAAGCCAGAAAATAGAATTTAATAAAAAAGATTTAGCTACCGGTTTTTCTTTAGTCATAGTTTATTTATTGAAAACCTGAATTATCTAATTTTGGATAATAACCTAACTGAAAAGAGGTCATTTTATAACATGTCAGCGTCAACACTAAGCAAGCCCTCAGGACCGTATTACAAACATGCCTTTTTATTTTCAAATTCGAAATACGATTCATTATCAGATTTTTGAAAATTATTTCAGTTTTGTTTTGTGAAACCATAAAATAAGGTATTTTCTAGGTACTAACATTACCTAATTATGAAAAAATATATTTCAGGATCGGTCCCGCATATGTATAAGAACAGGGTGGTAGGTGGCAGTATGAACAGAGTGACGTCATAGAGCTATGTTCTTGGATTCTTTTCTAGCGTTCGCTAGAACCAATATCAGGTGATAATTACCATAAGATATAATAAATACCTACCCTTTCTTGAGAGATCTTATCACTTATAGTATGTTAAAGGGTACATAAAAATGTTTTATTAACAATGAAGTATATTCGTATATATATTTGCGTAAATAATATAATAAAAATGAATTATAAAAACCAGATAAAAAACACGAAATTTGCTGTAACAGTAGATTTATCTCTTTCCTTAATTAAATCATGTAAATAAATAAAAAAGGAGTCTATAAAATGTCCAAAATGTGTTGTCCATAGCAAATGAAGAAAAGAAGCCCTTTACGTTGATTGGTTGTCCTGAAGTCCTTAGAAGTTTAAGGAAATTGCGGGTGCTGAGTTATATATATATATAATTAGCAAAGTCTCTGTGCAAGAGCTAAAACAAGTATGCTTTTTAAGACTTCAAGTATTCCTTTATTCTTGATCTGTTGAAAGCGAGCCAACTTTGGCTGCTTATTACACACACGAGTGAGTGTTCTAAAGTCCAGCAGATATTGAATAGCAGTACTCTAGTAGGCTAAACCTTTCTTTAGAAAATTATTTAACTTAAATATACGAAGCTTTGTATATGTAGGCATACTACTTAACGTCACAACTCCTTGAGTTTTACCAGAAAATGTATCACCATTTTTGTATGTGTACACATATTACTAAACGAAGCGATTTAAACCATTTTAACTGATTAATGAAATAGTGACTCCATGACGTCACACTCCTTGAGTTTAATCAGAAAATGTATCACTATCTCTGTATGTGTACACATATTACTCAACGAAACGATTTAAACCATTTTAACTGATTAATGAAATAGTGACTCCATGACGTCACAATTCATTGAGTTTAACAAGGACTTTCAGCACAAGCTACCTTTTAAGAGAAACAAAATCAAAACAACTTAAATCCTAATAGGTAGGTAACAACATTGTATTCGCAACGTGTAAACAAACTAAAGCAAACAAACTTACACAAGGCTTTGCAGGCAAAACGAGGGCCATCCTTCTAGCAATGTTACACGAGATGTCAACAGATGTAGCGGCAGCCGTGCTGCAACAAGGAACCCGCTTCTGACAGCCGCGTTATCCAACTGCCCTTACGCATCAACAACAAGGTTTCTCATAGCACCCGCGCAGGTCACGTGACGATCGTTTCCATGACAACAGAATCTTTGTGAATTAATAGTCATCTCAGATGTTTCAAATACACAGATGATGAATGTCAAAGTTTTAAGAGGTGTGTTGAACAGAAAATGTAAAATCCCACTGCGGAAATCGCCTGGCCCAGGAACCCAAAGAGGGTTTTACACATTTTTTTTTTTACATAAAACATTAAGTTAAAAATACAACGTTCAATAATAACCATACTTTTTCTAGCGAAGCTATTACAAAGTTTAAGATACATTAATCGATTTAGCCTACAAATAATCCATCAACAGAAGTTATTTGGAAAAATGCCTCAATTCTAATATCTTTTAGATAATAACACCTGCTACTTGTTTGCAGACAGACGTATGTATATAGTCGTATATCAGCCACTTTTCTTTAGCAGCAACATGGAGGATTTATCCAGCAAATGCATAAATCAATTGTACTTGGACCGGAGCATACTAGCACAAACTTGTTATGAAATTCGTTTAGTAGTGTTTTCTATATTAACATAAATATCTCCGTAATCCCTTACCGATTTGTACAGAAAGTAGAACGTGTACGAAATGGAGTTTACTTATTCTGAAAAGGAAGGGAGCTGGGAAGTTTATTAGAATTTACTTTTTTCGATTTTGGATATGCTTTTTTAACATGTCAATCAACTTATGGTGATCACTGGTACGTTGTAGAAATAAAGGCGAAATCTTCGGACAGTTAGTTAATATAAGGCCTAGCAGTAAAAGGTAATAGAAATATATGAATATACATTTTGTATGTTTCTGGATATGTCTACAGAAGGTTGAAAATGTTTCATTAAAACAATTTTCGTTGGTTGTTATGAATTTCGCGCAAAGCTACACGAGGGATATATGCGCTAGCCGTCCTTAATTTAGCAGTGAAAGACTAGAGGGAAGGCAGTTAGTCATCACCACCCACCGCCAACTCTTGGGCTACTCTTTTACCAACGAACAGTGGGATTGGTCGTAACATTGCAACGCCCACACGGCTGAAAAGGCGAGCATTTTTGGTGGTATGGTGATTTGAACCCGCGACCCGCAGATTGAGAGTCGAGTGCCCTAACCACCTGGTCATGCCGGGCTGTAACAATTTTGGAACCTCACCACGTCGTTACAGTTCAAGTGGCCAAGTCCATTCATGCTCTATCTCAAGACCGTGTACCGTGACTATAGCCCTGCATCATAGTTCGCAGTTTCCTTTACAAAAGGCTCCGTTGAAAAGCAGTCATGTCCAAAGCACACCACTTTACATAATCAATCTTGGTTAAGAAGACTGTATCAAATTCTCATCACGCAGAAATCTATAGGCGACTTGACAGGTATGTCTTCGTATGGAATAGCATGAATACCTGACTTATTCTCCAGATGCTTGAGGTATGTGACGATTGAACGGGAGGTATGACTAGAAGCCTTTTTTGGGTCCACTCATACCGTGTTTTCCTCGTTTCCAGGCGGAGATTATTTTCGAATATGCTGCGTACTGTTGTCTTGGATACTTGGCTGGTTTTATATCTGACCTTTGTGTTCGTGGATTATCATCGGTTACAAGACGCCCCATTTTGCTGACCACTGCAGGAGTACGACTTGCTGATGTTAAGGCCAAGGGATATCCTCTTCTTGGAAATTCACGATCTCAACACAACTTTATGATCTGAATGTAATAATATTTTGCTTCGAAAAAGGCTGTTACTTATCCTTCCTAGAGCGTTAAATTTTTCATGCACATCAGATAAATTCAAAATGCACTTTTAACACGTGCCTCTCCACCTCAACTTTATATCAGCTATGGTTATCACTTCTAACACGTGCCTCTCCACCTCAACTTTATATCAGCTATGGTTATCACTTCCAACACGTGCCTCTCCACCGAGACTTTATATCAGCAATGGTTATCACTTCCAACACGTGCCTCTCCACCGAGACTTTATATCAGCTATTTTAATCACTTCTAACCCGTGCCTCTCCACCTCAACTTTATATCAGCTATGGTTATCACTTCCAACACGTGCCTCTCCACCGAGACTTTATATCAGCTATTTTTATCGCTGATTTGCGTATACAAAATAGTTTAGCCTAACATGTTTGCATACCCCAATTTATCGTTTATATATATATATGCGTGATTGGTCGACAAATTCGATAGAACTATTTAAAGCTTAAAAAATATTGTATGTGTTCAACTTTGTTAGTTTTCAAATCTAAAGCTACACAATAAACTATTATAAACTGACTTACCGCTGAACCACTAGGTTTGCTTGTTTGTTATAAATTTCGCGCAAAGCTACACGAGGGATATCTGCGCTAGCCGTTCCTAATTTAGCAGTGTAAAACTAGAGGGAAGGATAACTCTTGGGCTACTCTTTTACGACAGTCACTTTATAACGCCCTAACGGCTGAAAGGGCGAGCATGTTTGGTGTGATGGGAATTCGAACCCGCGATCCGCAGATTGCGAGTCGAGCGCCTTAACCACCTGGCCATGCCGGGTCGAACCAATTCATTTTTTTTCAGTGTGTAGACGACTTGCTATATATATATATGTGTATATTTATATTGTACATGCAGACATATATTGGGAAAGTTTCATGAAGAGATGGACCCTTTCGTGCCGATATAAACTAAAAAAACTGTAAACAATGTTTCAGCGTGATCAGTATAAATACTGGTACAAAAATTGCACCAAGAAATCCCAAAGTATAAAATGACTCTGTGCTTTGTGCACGTAATTTAGGTACTTTCAGAGTAACGTAACCTTACTTATAAATACAGCACCCTGACCTTACAGAATGCGCAGAAAATGTATCATGACTTGGAGGAGAACTATTGCTAATTTATTCTCATATATATATATTTGAAAACTTTTGTCTCTTATTTGTTCTATTTATTCTACTTGTCGTTCTGCCTTTCTTTATTCCTGTGGTGTATATTTTAAAGTTATTGCTCACTGATAAACACAAAATTGTTAGTTTGCACGAAAATGAAAATTTCACGTCTTTGTGTATTTCTGATAGGAGATAGTTATTGACATTTATATCTAGTGTTAGATATTTTCAGATACCAAATTCGTTGAATAACGTAAACAAACAGAAACTTCGTGTCAGTGTGGTGAACAAACAAAGTTTGAATAAGAGCATCGTAATTTGTGTTATCCTAGTTTATCAGTAATGGTGGAAACGACGTTCGGCTTGTTCTACATTTAATTCTTTCTAGTCCCTTTTACAGTGTTGTGCCACCTAATCTTGATAATATAGAAACATTATCAAAGAAACATTATCGGTGGCATGAAACTCATGAGAAACACAAAGATAATTAGTCACTAAGCGAATAATAACATGTGTATATATTAGTTTAGAAATGATTAATTACTGTAATTATTGTCACATCTCGTTAAAGGATAATAAATGGAAACCGACATAGTACGGGCACATCACGTAATGAGAGCACGAGACGATAAAACTAAGTTTAAAACTTTTATAGATTCAATATTTTTTACATTAAATTTAGTCACTCCACACTGATGAGCTGTGTATTATATGAGCTATGTATTGTATTTCGTGAAATAAATGTGTAATATTTAAGACGCGTTATGGAACCATTCCTGTAACTTTTACACTTTTGTCTCTGTATCGTTTAAACACCTTTTTAAGATGGTATATTTTTGTCCTATAATTTTCAACACTTGTTGTGTTTGGATAAAAACTATGTTACGAAAACGAAAACAAATATATTACGATATACTTAACTCTTACAGGACTTAGAAAAATATTTGCATGATCTCTTTACATTATTTTTCTGATCAGGATGTAATTTATTAGTTTTATGCTCCAATCTCTAAGGGTACTTTTTAATTATGATCGTAATGTACATCATGTATATGTCCGTTTCAACGTAAGTTACGACCAAACGTGCTGGCACCCTTGGGAGCAATATTCTTCAAGCTCAAATTTACTGAAATGTGTATCGATGTAGTAAGGGTGTTATTAGTTTCAAAGAGGAATATCTGACTATTAAAACGAGTCTTACAACTCAAATCTCTTAAGAATTTGTACAGAAAAGGTCCACGTGAACACATAAATTAAACTCCACCAAATAGGTTTGGACATTTCCTTAACTGTCAGATGAGCTACAATGGAATATGATTAATATAAACAAACCGGGAGCTACTTTTCAGGATGAATTATTTGCAATAGCCCTGAATTCATAATATTCAGAGAGTCTTCTGAAGAGATTTTCTTAACATAATTCGATTTTAAGATTATCATCCTTTTGGTCTTTACATTCCTGAAACTTTTCAGTAAAAGTAAATAAAACATCGTATATTTTTTCATGTTTTTTCACTCTGGAAAGTACAAGACAGAAACGCCTTTCATGGAACAAAGAGAACAGATTTATTTGAACTATCTTCCCTCTCAGGAAATACAATCATTCACAAGACGTGGATTTTCGGTATACTTAACAATGATAATCAAAACTTATAGTTACTGCCTCCAATTTATCAGCCCCATGAAATGCATAGTAGAAAAAGTAGAGCATCTTCAATCAATATCATGTTTCTCCGTATTCTAAGACAAACACTATGTATTAAAATATTCACACATTCTTCAAGGAAATATCTAATACGTTGATGCTTGATGAACATTTCGAATTGCTCGTTTTCTCCAAAATTGCTGAACTGAATTTTCTTTTTGCCAAATCTATGGTTTTATAGAAAGATCATGATATGCAACGTCAAGGAATTACTTGTTGTTTTTATCTAATTAGCAATCTCTTTTCTAGTTTTATTGTCACTGGAACCTTAATTATAGGCAACCAATAACTTAGTTTGTGAGAACACATAACCTACTATCCTCCAGTGACACATAACATACTAAATAACAGAATAACACTACCGTATAGTCCGTCAAATATGACGGAGCAAGTCTAGCA